CGTTTCCTCCCGCCCCATCAGACACAGGTACCTCCCGAAACTACCATGTCCGGTGAGGACATGCATCAGGCAGTAGGTGAGGACGCCGTAGCGTCTCTCAAGCCACTCCTCAAAGAGGGGACTTACCCAGCCCTCGGTTGCGACAGTCGTTGCTGCCATTCCGCCATGAGTTCGCGCCGGAGCTCATCCCGCCACGCACTTATCTGGCACAGCAGCGGAGTTTCGCCCCGGCGACGTGCCTCCGTGCTATACACGCGCGCGAGCACCTTCGCCTCCAGATCCCACGGCGGTAATCCGGCTAGGAGGTTCGCCGACTCCCCAGAGATCGTGCGGTATCCGCGGATCATTCGGATCGCCATGACCCTCTGTGCCATGAGCAGCGTCCGAGCGGGACGCCGCAACAGGTTTGGCGCCCAAACAGGGGCGCCGTAGAGGGCCATGGACCGCACGACCCCGGCGTAAATAACCTCCGGCAGGAGGCGTTTGGCCCCCCGAGGTTGGGGAGGATGCGTTTGAACGCAGCCCCCGTCCTCTCCAACTTTGGAGCCAAACGTCGGATGCAATGTGGAGCAATGAGGGAGACGTGTTGTTCTTAGAAATAACTTTAATTGAGTGCCTAATATCTATCTTACGCTACTTACTTATAGGGCGAGGTGTCACACACACTACACCTCCACAGTTTTTTTGGAAAAAAAAAATATTTATTTATATATTTTTTTTTTGTTTCATTAAAACAAACATATATAATTATTTCTTAAAATATTCGCACTATTGACAATATTTAAACATTTTACGATTCAAGTTATATATTTTGAAATTAATTTGGTAAAGTATTTTTACAACTGAAATAATCATAATACTTACAACTGTTATCTCTTTTACAACTTATTATAATTTCTTACTCACTGTTCTATATCTAGGTACCTACACATAATACATTTTATTTTGCTTAAATATTTCTTTATTATAATCGTAAGGTACATACACATGTAAGCACATTATATTTCTACAGGACTCTCCGGTACCTGTTCATTAATTATATTTATTTCATTATATTTATTTATCATTCTTCATTTCATTATTATACTTGTGCTTACTTTTATTCATTTCTATATTTATTTTAAAATTTAGTGTCTGTTTACGCACAAGAATGGAATTTCTTTAGTGAAACTCAAAAGAACTTTAGAATTATGTGTATTACAATAATTTTTGGAGACATAGAAAAGCAGAGATGGTGACTGTTCGAAATCGGTAGTAGAATAGACTGGTGCAACAATCTACCCGCTGTTGAAGATTGTAAAAATAAATGTCATATAAAAATAATTTAACTAGACGTAAATCATCTAACGACGAATTGCTATGCGTATTGAAGTAGGCGCGTACATAGACTCCCCCCGTTGAAGGTCTATGATCTTCAACCTTGAATATCATCTTCATTTGGTAGGGGACACAGGCGAACCAGCGATCGACGCACGCATCCTCTTGCTGTGTTGACATCTGCGACTCGAGAAATGCCGTCTGAACCAGGGTAAAGCCGGGCAACACGTCCGAGGCGCCAGTTTAGTGGTGGCACATTATCCTCTTGTATAATAACAAGATCGCCGATATTTAAAGATTGAGTCCTTGTCTTCCACTTTGTTCGAAGTTGAAGTTCAGAAATGTACTCTTTCTGCCAACGTTTCCAAAAATCTTGCCTTATTTGTTCAAGGCGGGCATAGCGTTGCAGTTGGGTTGACTGGCAGTCGTCTTGAGGTGGCGTTGGCAGCGTATTTAAAGGTCTGCCAATAAGAAAGTGCCCTGGGGACAAGGATAGGAAATCATCAGGTGATGATGACAGTGGACACAAGGGGCGGCTATTTAGAACTGCCTCTACTTGTGCGAATAAAGTACAAAGTTCCTCAAAAGTAAGATGAGAGTTGCCCATAACTCTTTTGACATGATATTTAGCAGACTTGATTCCAGCCTCCCAAATCCCACCGAAATGAGGGCTGTAAGCAGGTATAAATGAAAATTTTATTCCTTCCCCTGCTGCAAACAGAGAAAGAGATTGGTTATTTTGTTTTAGAAAATTACTTATATCCTTTGCGGCAGATACAAAATTTCTTCCGTTGTCGGAACAAACCTCCGCTGGTCTACCACGGCGAGCAACAAAGCGACGAAATGTCATAATGAAAGCTTCCTTTGTTAAGT